TCGCACTGCGAAGGTGTTCGATGGACTTTACTACCTGAATGAAAGTGAGAATTTACATGTTAGATCTTGTAATAAGGTGTCTCTCCCTAGGACTAGTGAATTGGAGCTGTGGCACAAAAGGTTAGGACATCCAAATATTAATTATATGTCTCCAATGTTCCCCTCAATTTGCTCAAATAAAGATTGTACTCCTTTTTACTGTGATTCTAGTGAACGCGCCAAACATCATTGAACTTTGTTTTCTAACATCCCTTATCATGCATCAAAGCCTTTCACAACGATACATAGTGATCTATGGGCCCATCATGGGTCACCTATCAGACACATGTGTGAGGTGGCTTTTCCTTCTGAAGGACAAAACTGAAGTTTACCAAACATTCATTGACTTTTATCACATGATTCAAACTCAGTATGAGACAAAAATCTAAACACTACACAGATATAATGGCACCGGAATATATGAACCATGCCCTCTCCACTTTCCTCAAAGATCAAGGCATTATCCATAAAAGCACTTGTCCTTATAGCCCACAACATAATGGGATCGCTGAAAGGAAAAACAAACATATTCTCAAAAGTGCTCGGGCTATTATGCTTGGTATTAACGTTCCCCAATAACATTGGGACGACGCTGTTCTCACAACCATTTTCCTCATCAATCGCATGCCCAGCAAACCCTTGTCTTACCGAACACCCCTCCAAGTCCTTCATGACCACTACAATCTCCCATACCTTAAAAATATATTGCCTTTGAAAGTTTTTGACTGCAACACTTATGTTCACCTTCATTACTCCAACAAACTTGACTCTAAAGTTGTGCGATGCATCTTCCTAGGCTACTCTGCATCCCAAAAAGGATACAAGTGGTATGATCCTGTTACTAAACGCATCTTTGTCACCTGTGATGTCAGTTCCATGAAATTGTTTCCTACTGTTCTGAGTATTCAATTCAGGGGGAGAACTAGAGTGAATTGAATAACAACACCAACACCATCAATAATCCCATGATACTTGAACCTGAACCTGAACCTGAACACAAACCCGAATCCGAGTCTCAGTTGCCTTAGGAAATTCTACTTGACAAACCCATACTTGGGGAACCTGAAAGTGAGGAAGTGCCTAGTAATAATGGAAAATCTATTCCAGGGAGAGACACTACTAAACCTAAGCCTGTAAAGATCTACAATCGAAGACATAAGAAAGATGAGGTTCCTTAGGCATCCAGCATGTGTCAAGAGCCAGAACTAGAGGCAAACCTAAGAAAGAAACAAGGTGTGACTCATGATGAGTAGGTGCCTCATAATGATCAGAGGTCTGACCTTAACTTGCCCATTGTAGTAAGGAAAATGCCTAGAGCAAAGCATCCAATCAAAAGCTTTGTCTCATATAAAGCTCTTTCCTTAAAGTACCATGCTTTTATCTCTCACTTATACAGTGTCAGAGTACCAAACAATATAGATGAAATGCTTGTCATCCCTAAGTGGAGGCAAGTTGTTATGGAAGAGATGGAGGCCTTGAAAAAAAATGGAGCATGGGAAGTAGTGGACCTACCAAAGAGCAAAAAAAACAATTGGTTGTAAGTACATGTTTACCCTAAAATACCTTGCAGATGGTAGCCTTGACAGATATAAGGCAAAACTTGTTGCATAGGGTTTCTCTCAGGTTTATGAGTTGGATTATGCGGAGATTCTTGCACTTGTAGCAAAATTAAATACTATCAGAGTCTTCTTGTCACTGGATACGAATCTAGATTGGTCATTACTCTAACTAGATGTCAAAAATGCATTTCTCAATAGAGACCTGAAAGAGGAAGTACACATGAACCTACCGCCGGATTCTTGGGAAAGAGATCAAATCAAGTCTGTAAACTTAGGAAGTCACTATATGGACTAAAACAGTCCCCCCGTGCATGGTTATTCACTCGAGTCCTAAAAGCGCCATGATATACTCGAGGCCAAAGTGACCACATTCTATTCCTTAAACATCAGCACAGAAAAATCGTAGTTCTGGCTATGTGCATAGATGACATTGTTCTTACAAGTGATAACTTGACGGAAATTGATCAAATCAAGGGAGAATTGGCATGAGAATTCCAAATCAAAGATCTCGAGGAGATGAAATATTTCCTGGGAATGGAGGCTGCCTGGTCGAGAAAGGAAATTTACATTTCACAATTAAACTACATTATGGACCTCCTACAAGAGACAAATATGATAGGGTGCAAGCCGAGTGATACTCCCACAAGAGTTGACAAAATCAGTGATGAAGAAGACTTGGGTAAGAGTATGGACAGAGGAAGGTACCAACACATGGCAGGAAAGCTGGTCTAGCTTGTATTTGCATGATTCTCAGCTTCTCATTATTAGGCCTGATTCATTTACTCTGTATATAATCTCCCCTATACATTCTAAATTAATCAAGGAAGAATTCCATCCCCTTCTATCGTTGTTCTCCTCAAACATGATATTGGAATTTGTGTTCAACTTAAAATTATATCAATACATAATAGATGTAAGAAAAATATAGGGTTAAGGTGCACCCAACACCCCAAACTATTTTTCAAGGTGCACCCAGTGTCCTAAAGTAATTTTTAGTATATCCAGTGTCCCAAACTAATTAAAACGATGCATCCATATCTTAGGCTAACAGAAAAGTTAAGTTTGACCGTTATCTTGCTGGCTTAGCTAAAGGTTGACCAAAAAATCCTACGTGACCGACATGCCGACGTCTGATGTGTATTATTTTGACGTGTTAAGATGCGCCCAGCATCCCAAACTATTTTCCAGGTACACCTAGTGTCCTAAAGTAATTTTTGGTGTATCCAGTATCCCAAACTAGTTAAAACGGTGCGTCCACATCCCAGGCTAACAGAAAAGTCTCGTTTGACCATTACCTTGCTAACTCAGCTAAAAGTTGACCAAAAAATCCTACATGGCGGACACACAAGCGTCTGATATGTATTATTTTGACTGAAAATTTAGTTTATTTCCTCTTCTTCTAACATTTATCTTCTACCAGTTTTTAAACTTAAAAAAATGAAAGACCACCGATCCACCCTCTTAAATGTTGATACATATACCACCCATTCAATCTCATCCTCGTCTTTAACATTCTATCCTATTTCTTCTACCACTCTGATTTGAAGCCGCAACTGCCGTCACAGCACACTTCCGTCTCCGCCTTTGTCAACTCCTCATCCGACTCACATTTGCTTTCCTCCACATAGAACACAGTAAACTTCCCCTTGGTCACTCCGTCGTCCCCCAAGAAAACACCCGCCACCATCGGGCTCATCTTGGGAGTTTTAGTCAAAACAATACACATCAGATGCCTGCATGTCTGCCATATAGGATTTTTCAGTCAACCTTTAGCTGAGTCAACAAGGTAAAGGTCAAACAAGACTTTTCTGTTAGCTTGAGATGTGGACACACTGTTTTAATTAGTTTGGGATACTAGATGTACCAAAAATTACTTTAGGACATTAGGTGCACCTGGAAAAATAATTCAGGGTGCTAGGCGCACCTCAACTCGTCAAAATAATACACATCAGATGCCTGCGTGTCCGCCACGTAGGATTTTTTGGTCAACCTTCAGCTGAGTCAGCAAAGTAACGGTCAAACTTAACTTTTTTGTTAGCCTAAGATATGGATGCACCGTTTTAATTAGTTTGGGACACTAGATGTACCGAAAATTATTTTAAGACACTGGGTACACTTAGAAAAATAGTTCGGTGTGTTGGGCGCACCTTAACCCAAAAATATATTTTCTTTAATAAGCTTATCATAAAGCTTGATCTAAAATGGGAACTGCGAAGAAGGAAATTCTTGGCTGATATGTAAATTTAATATAAAAGAAGTTAATTAGGAGATTAGGGTAAGTAGGAGATATTACAATTAGTAGCTAAGTGCTATAAAAAGGTGGCTTAGGAGGAGGCTTGGAATGATTATGAATAGAGTCACTACCCCCCCCCCCCCAATCTGCATATCTTTCTACTCCCTCAATTTCCCTTATCTCTCTCCCTTCAACACTTTTGTACACACCATTGACTCAAATTCCCACTCAATGTCCGGAATGCATTCCAGGAAAGCTTTGCTTCTAGAATTCTTTCATTTTATTTATTCTCTTCCAACTTCAAATCGTGTTTTCAAGTCTCAACCCAACTATCTAAATGATAAGAGAAAGTGTTGAAACACAGACTTGGCAAATCAGATGTGACTTACAACAAGTCAATTCTGATGGAGGAAAGAAAATCAATATATCAAATTCTGTATAAACTTCCAACTATAGGAGAGAAAACGGTAAAAAGACTTGTGAGCTGCACAGGAAGTATCTATCCCCCTTATCACATAACAATTTATGCCTTGGACCAGCAAGGGCAAGTGTTAAAATATGAAACCTGCTGTAACCAACACTCACTCACACATACAAAACACTAAAAATGTTGTAGCTCAATTGGGGAATGAAGATTTTATTGTAATATTAGTGTACTTCATTTCCATATTCAGCCAACATGTGAAAAATCTAGGCAAGCCTCGTTATTTGGAAACATATCTTGATGAAAGACCCAATTTCCTCTGATGGAAAGATTAAATTTCTCATCTCTTTCACACCGTTTCCCAATGCACTATATATGATGGAGTTCTCTAGCAGCCCATATCGCACCAAGTTTTTTGCTAACTTGGGTTGAATATTTTCTATACAATATGATATTTTTTCATCAAGATCGAATGCAAACGTGATGCACGGTCAGTCACAGCCATTTCTGTCTCTGATATCTTAATAGATTTTCAGTAAACAACGAAACGACTGAAACGATCTTCGGCTAAACAAGTATGAAATATCTCAGAAAATTCTATCCTTCAAAGACAAAGCACTTTTACATACAAGCGGACACACTATAATGCCACACTTATCAATTTCAAGGTCACCAAAAAAACAAAGAGAAAGAGCAATCCAAACACGGAATCAAGTAAATTCAGGATATATGAAAATAAAGCAACCTGAAGACGACGAATTGTCATTTTTTTTCTTCCCCATAGCTTTCACAGAAAATGGCTGACACCCTTTAAAGCATACATTACGCTTCAAAATTTTGATCTTAAAAATTCTCCCATCTTCAACTCTGGAAGAAATTCCTGTCCTTCCCAAAGTCCTGCCAGAAGCGGGTCTCTCGTAAAACGAGTTTCTGACCAAAAGAGGGCTCCGAGTAATGTTCTTGACATGAACAGCACACAGATCCATACCACACCCCTCCCAATTGAGCCTTTTGCTGAAAAGATGATTCCAGAAGATTTTCTTCTGGATTTTGATGTCTGCGGATGACTTTCAATCTCAGCGTTGGAAACGACGACGAAGAAAATAAGAAAAGCTGAAAAGGAGATAAACAAAGGAGGGGCGAAACAGAGGAAGATCAGGAAAGAAGAGAGAAGTGATGGCAGTGAAAGGGACGCTCTAGAAAAGGAGGAGAGTGGGTGCGCGCAAGAATATGCTCTATTTAACCGATTTTGTGCGTTGCCGGTGCATGTTAGCGCGTCACAGTGTTGTAACGTAAACTTGCGCCGGCGGCTGAACTGAAGCACATTGACAGAAGTTTACGGTCGGCTTGGCCTTCTCACCCATGGAAACCCACCGATAAATTCAGGTCATTTCGTTTCTCATTTCCGGGCATTTTATTCGTGGAATCTTAAAAATTGTTTATGTTGTCTCTCTTTTTTTCGTTTTAAAAAATTGTGTCGTCAAATTTTTTTTTTTTTTGTTTTTACATTATAGTAGAAATATTGTATTCCATTTTATTTTGATAAAAGTGTATTCTTAATTCTTTAATTTTATATACTTTTTTTAATATTTGAATTTTGTAAATTACTTTTAACTTTTTTAACTATAAGGTTGTTAAAAAAATGCTGATATTAAAATCTTAAATATTGATAAAAATATTATTAAATATTACTACCTCTGGTCCTAATTATAAGAGCTAGTTGACTAATTTGAGAAGATTAAAAAACAAGTTAACTGAGTTATTTGTAATAAATAAGTGTTGCCTTTTCTAAAATATCCTAACTAATTAAGTGTGTTAGCTAGAACTATCATTATTAAAATGACTATCTTGAAAAAGATGCATAAATACTAAAAACAAAGTGGATTTGAGTCTTATATTTAGGATCAAAATAAAAGTCAAACGAGATTTTATATTAAAGAACGAAGGTAGTAATATATTAAGCTCATTTTTCAAAATAGCAATAATTATTAAAAAAAACCATCATATCATACTAGTGTCAAGGTTTGAAGATGAAAAAGATATGTATTTTATAAAATTAAAAGATCAAACTAAAATTTAATATAAAGTTATAGGATAAAATTACACTTTTAGTCTTTCTTGTTAACTATGCATTTTAAGAAATATTTGCTATCTATTTATTTGTTAGCTCCATGATTATGGACAACTGTGCTTGTGCGATCCGATCACAGGTTTGGTTTTGATATTGTTTCATAAAAATTTCTCTGATCAATTTTGTCCATCATTCATTCCACAATGTTTTCTTGGCCACCTATTAATTCTGCAACGTTTGTTTAGAACTTCGGATAGTTAATGATGTGCTATAAGGCTAGAGTATAGATATTAATAAAGCATATTCATTAAAATTTGAGACTTACCCAGACCATGGAGAGAAAATAAGAAAAAAAAAAAAGAAAACTAACGAAAACTATGAGGAAAGAAATGATTTTTTTTTTGTTTAGATGAGGGGAGAAAAGTGGGGGAAAAAAAAGGTGTAGGACTCATCTCATTATTTTTTCCAACATTTCTCTCTACATATGAAAAAAAAAAATTAGAAGAAAACTCATATTTCACATCTGCCTTCCTTAAATATAGTTCAATAATCTTACATTCTACCTTTGATGCAATTCTTTTTTTAGTTTTATCTATGACTACTTCATAATTCAACAAAATTATCCTATTATACTATGACCAATGACCAAGATTCGAAGCACATGAACTCCATTATTTCACATTCAATAAAATATGAAAATTTTGCACAAATTAATATATTATTTATTTCTTTTTATTATGTTTAATTTAAAAAAAATATCTACTTTTCTATTTTTACCTTGAAAAATAATATTTTTACTAAATCATTTGGTTTTTAAAACATAATCACATTTTTTACTAAAATAATAATATTTTAGTCATTCACGTATTTGCTTATTTTCTTTCTTTCCTATTTTCTTCCCTCCATCTAAATAGGGGGATGATAACATTTTTTTTCTAGTTTTCTTTTTTCTCAATTTTCTTTCCTACCAACTTTTTTTTCCCATTCAAACGACTAAAAAAACAAATCTTTAACATTCAACCATCAATGTATTCATCCTCAATTGTTACTTAATCGTGATTGGCAGGTCTTGCCTACTTTTTCTTACAAGAAGGACCTTCCTTTTACTCACTATTTAGCTAAACTTTTTCATGGTTTGGACAATTCTTTTTGCCTCCGCCATTTTAGGAAGAGGGGGACACTGATGAACGATTGGCTTAATGGCTTGTATGTTCTATTGATTTTGTAACGAATTACAGTTTTTTATTCAAAAAAATATATTCATCATTTTCATGTTCTCAATGTGCTCGATTTATAAATTTATATTGTTTTATGTCTCATGTAATAAGTAGCCGGACCATAGCATGTATATGGAAAAAAATGAATATGAAGTGTTGATGTTAGTTTGAACTATTCAAATTGATTTTGAATCATCCAAATTTAATTTAAATTTTTTATATTTTAAACAATCTTTCATTTTAGTATGTACCAAAATTTAAAATAAAGTAATTTTAGAACTAAAATAATTTTAGAACTAACACTTACAAAAAAAGAGTTGCACTACTGGAAAAAAGCTCATTAACGTCGGTTATACATAGTTTTTAACAGTGGTTAAAAAGGGGTCATGGATGAGGATGATGTAGTTTCAATGAGTTTCTACGATAGTTAGTAAGTAACGTGGAATGACACTTTCTATGATGGTTACAAAACCAACCATCATAGAATAGTACGAAAGAGTACCATTCTACGATGGTTATAACATAACCATTGTGGATTCCTTAGGGGAAAAATAGCGATGATTATATTATCCAGGATAGTTAATGTAATAACTGACATGGAAGTTTTTGTTTTTTTAAAGATTCTATTTATTTAGTTTATAAATCTCCATGCAATTGCAAACTTTTACATGTAGCAATTAAATACCAAACCGGTCCAAAACCAATTCACCAATTCAAATGCTAAATTCTAAGGGCAAGTCCTATACAAAATCAATTCGAAAGTTAAATCCTAAAAGCCTGATCATAAAAGCAAGTCTAAACAAGGTAAAGTTATAAAAGAATAACATAAAATGCAAAACGAATTCACTAGTTGCTTTGTTCAAAGGTGAACAAAATGTTTCTCATTAAATCAATGTTGTCACTTGAGCAAAGTGATTGATTTTAAAAAACTTGAAAATTGAAATAGAATCAAAACATATCATTACTCACCAAAATTTACAATCTCATTGATAAAATCATATGTTGCATATATAATTATCTCATGAAAATTATTAATTGTCTCAATTCTAATTATTTCATACATATAGCAGATTATATATTATCTGTACTCTATACTTCTCGGTTGACACCGGTACTGAAAAATATTTGGTGGCCCAAGATGAAGAGAGATACAATAGAATTTGTGATGAAGTGTGTAACATGCTAGAAAGTCAAGATAGAGCACCAAAAGCCTTCAGAACTACTCCTAAATCTAGATGTTCCTAATGGAAATAGGATAGCATTTTCATAGACTTTATTACTGGTTTGCCAAGGACTCCTACTGGATATGACGCAATGTGAGTGATCATTGATAGATTGACTAAGTCGGCACATTTCTTATCCATCAAAGCCACCTCTTCTTTAAAGCGAGTGATACAGTTTGTTGTATATTGATGAAATAGTTTAACTTCATAGAGTTCTAGATTCCATCATATTTGACCAATATCTATGGTTTACGTCAAACTTTTAAAGGTCATTGCAAAGAGCCATGGGCACTAAGTTAAAATATAGTACCGCTTACCACCTCAGACAAATGAATAGGTTGAGAGGACAATTCAGACTATTGAAGACATGTTAAGAGCTTGCATTGTTGAGTTAAAGAATAGTTAGGATAGTCACCTATCATTAAAAGAATTTCCTTATAACAACAGCTACCATGCTAGCATCCAAATGGCTTCTCATAAAGCCTTATATGGGAGGAAGTATCACTCTCCATATTAATATCCAGGTTTTGATGATGACAAAGAAAGTTAATTATATTTCAAAGATTAAAATTTGATTTCTGAAGTTGAATTTGTAATTATCGGTAAAGCTATCAATAATTCAAATTATCAATGAGTTTATGATAATACTTTAGTTCTCAAAGAAAAGAGACATTTATCAATAAATTTATCAATAACAAGGTTTATTGATAAAGACTTTGATAAATACTCTTAAATTTCAAAGTATTTGTTTTGACCTGTTTAAATTTAAAATCCTTGATTTATCGATAAAGTTATCAACAATCTTCTCTAATGATAATATGTTCGATAAGGTTGTTTTAAAATGTTATCTAAGCTTGTAGACTTCGTGAACTCTTTGTCAATAAGATTTTATAAATCAAGTTTTTTTTCTTTTCAAAAATTATCCTTAAAAAGATTTTCAATAGTAATTATCGATACGTTCATCATCAATAATTAGTTTATCAATAAAGTTATCGATAACTTGCTTTACTTAAACTCTGAAATGGATTTCCTCGTGATATTTCTTGATGAGATTATTGATAAATGTCTTTATCAATAAGATTATTGATAAATGCAAGTGTTTTTGCATTTCTAGAACTTCAACTTTTCAATAAAGTTCACGATAAACGAAATTGATACTTTTAGAGATTTATTGATAATTTTTTCAAGAAAATGGTTTATTGATAAAGAACTTCAAGTTTTTCTCTTATCTAAGTTTCATCTTATAGAATAATTATCAATAAGATTATCAATAATGGTAGTTATCAAATTCCTTATCAATAATCATTCTTCCAATTCTAATGATTGATCTTTGGGATAACTGAGATTTACTTATTCAAAACTTATATATTGCTTCTCATTTACCTATACCTATTACTCTGAGTTACAAATAATATGTTTGAGCAAGATTAATGCATGATCAAATAGTTTAAAGGAAAAATGACATGTTTAAGCTAATTTTGTCAGAAGCATTGAATGCACCTCAACCGTTACAAGCTACCAACGTCTTCAACCATCTTTACAATAATAACATTGCTTCAAGTCTAACGAATAGTTAATGAAGATCACTATAAATAGACGAAGCATTCAATGGAGCAAGAAGAAGAGAATGAACAAATATGTTTTCGAATTTATTGCTCTTAATGCTCTATTTTTATTATGTTCGCCTAGAAAGCTTTAGTGTTCATTTATTACTGTGTAAT